TTAAAAAAAAAAAAAAAAGATGTTTTCTTATAAGTTTGAATTGTTTGCTTAAACATACATATACATATTATGCAGGTTCAGGTTCTGTGGCGTCACAAGAAGCGCTCAGTACAACCCATCATGAGGTATATATATATGTCTTTCTTTTTTTTTTTTTTTTCGAAGGTTATATGTCTTTCAACATAGATTAGAATGGATACATGCATAATCATATAATTTATGCATTAAATAATTATTCAATTAAAATCTACATTTTATTTTAATATCGACTACTACGTACGACGACGTTCTTATTTTAAGAAATGACTGCAATTTTACCAAAATGCCCTATACACGCACGAACGTCTTTTGGGATTGTATTTGAATTAGACAACGTTACATTTTCGACAATTTGAATCAGGAAAAACAATCGTCTGAAGCTATACGTCATGACGATGAAGTTAGCGAAATCCATGAAAGGCTCCTCAAAGTGAAAACAAACGATTATGGAAGATATGATCCAACTCCATCCATGTCCAAGCCTCCCTTCAAGCTTATTCCCAATTAAATCAATTAATATATATGGTATATATAATCTTATCATCTTTTTTAGAAATATATTATATATATTAATATATAATACGTCAGCAATATTAATAGTCATGTAAAAAGCAAATGTTGTCAATGTGAGCATATATATGTATGCAGATCTATGGGGTTTGATGAGTTTTTGTATGTTATATAATGTTTTTCATGCAGAATGATAAAAAATTACCTTAATAAATCATAATTAGGTTTCCAATTATGTGTCAATAACTTATTACTTTATCAATCAATCATATTATAGTCTTGCTAAGAGCGTGAATGATAAAAAATTTTGGTTGCGAATATTATGATATAAAATCAATTATTTGTGTGAATAAATTTTGCAAAATTTTGAAATGATATTATAAAATCTTTTTAGATTTTAATTACTATTCTTTGTATATTTAATTCTCCAAATTTACAATAAAATTAATATAAATTGTTTTACAATTTTAAGTTTTCTTATACAGTTATATTTTAATCAAATACATATATAATAATAATATACGGGTATTGTACAAGTATTGAGTAGTTTATAAACATGTGTAAATATTAACACAGTCGGATCTAACGATTTGTACATAGCTGATTTCAAACCTTACATTTGGGCTCACTGGTCAGACAATATGGGCCACAACTGGCTAATTGGGGCCCAAAATCTATAATGCCTCTAATTCTTGGGCCATTCATCTCTCTTTGTCTTCAATAATAAGTTTGATAAGGAGAGAGAGTAGATAGTGATGGTTCAAGAGAATAAGTTGAATTTTGTAACTTGTGCACTTTTTCCCATCAATTATTTTATTTTAATTTTTTATTTTTTTTTACCATGATTTTATTCTATATTTGCCTAAACAAATAAAATTCATAATAGAGGTAGGTTTGAAGTGCATTTGTCATGCATTGTATATATCAAGACCGACCATTATTATTGACTTGAGTCCAGTTGATTTGGCTATTTTAACTTACAAATTTAGCCATGTGAATTTTCCTAGAGATATTAAATGAACACCTATAAAAGAAAATGGAAGATGTTGTGGTTTCGTTATCAAACCATTCCGTCGGGGTTTGTAAACGTTAGATCATTATAACAATTCTATCGAGGTTTGTAACCGTTAGATCAACTATCTCTGATAGTTACATGATGATCTAACGACTACAAACCTCGACGGAATGATTCCTTAACGGAACCTTAACATTTCCATAAAAAAATATCCTTTTGTACTAGAACCACGCAACCGATCAAATAAAGTTAGGTAAAGTTGTGCTTGATGAAAGTTTTTAATTTGTTAGGCAATAAAAGATTAAAATCAAAAGGTAAAAAAGTAGAGAACTCATCTATATACACTCTTAGTCATAAAGAAATTTCAAAATTACTTGCTTATATATTTATTTTTTTAATTAATTAAGTCACTTTATACTTCTTTTTCTTCTTCCTTTCCTTATTTTTTGGCCTTTAATAACACAACTAGTGAGCATGGTTATTGGACTATATTGTTAGACACAAATTTGTTATATGATGTGTTGTGGCTTAACACAGTTAGGTAGTCAACCTGTTATATTTTTCTACAAAATTGTAACTTTTAATATAAAGTGTCATTATTTTTTTATATTATCTTTCAATAATATAAACGGTTCAGTTTAAAAATAAACGAATACTCAACTTATTCCATTTTTTATTTTCTCACATAGTTATTTGATTACAAAAAAAAAAAATTAAAAACAAACAAACAAACAGAGAATGAAATATTTTCAATGAAGAAATAGAAATGCATATTTTAGGGAAATTAAAAACAAAAATAAAAAGAATACTGAGGTAACAAACACATATAACCAAACAAAGTTAATGTTAACGAAGAGCATTTGGATGAGATGGTTTGGGTCTCTTTCAGCTTAATCAGTGGTCTCGTGTTCGAGCCCTGGGAATGCAGCAGTGTTAAAACTCTTGAGGGAAAACTTTGCCGCCCTTGTGGTCCTACCCAGCTCGATTCCGAATTAGTCGGTTCCCCTGTGGATCCGGAAACCGAAAAGTCCATGTACCAACAAAAAAAAAATAATCTTACCCAAGAGCGCTTGGATGAGATGGTTTGGGTCTCTTCCAGCTTAACCAGTGGTCTCGTGTTCGAGCCCTGGGAATGCAACAGTGTTAAAATTTTTTAGGGAGAACTTTGCCGTCCTTGTGGTCCTACCCGGCTCGATTCCGGATTAGTCGATTCCCCTGTGGATTCGGAAACCGGAAGGTCCCTGTACCAAAAAAAAACAAAGTTAATCTTAAATACAAGTATAAACTACTACAAGTTAAACATTAGGTACACGTTGACGCCGTTACGAAAATTACAATCACTGCAGTCTGGGAAGGTTGGATAGTGGACACTTGTCGTCCGGGCCGGGCGTTAACTAACGCCGTCAAATGAGTCGTCTCTCCATTTCCTGCTTAATTTTTTTATTTTTTTTTAGTTCCAACGTAGAAATGAATCAGAATCACCTTTCTCTCTCTTCTCACCTCAAATTTCTCTCTCTAAAACATACCAAATCGTATATATTATATTGATAATACATATATACACACGCATTTGTCAATCATTTAAGCTGCTGACTCTCAAGTCTCGAACACAACACTTTCTCTCTCCGCTTCTCTCTAGGGTTTGTGAGCGGTGAAAGGATCACGTAAGTCTAAGAAGAAGAAATACGATTTGGATTTTTTTTTTTTTTTTTTTTTTTTTGTGTTTTTTTTTTTTTTTTTTTTTTTTTTTTTTTTTTTTTTTTTTTGTGAAGCTTGTTGATTTGTTTTGGTTGATTTTTGTTCAATTTGTTTTATTTGTGAAGGAAAAATTTGAGGTTGAAATGATTTGGATTGGAGATGGTGAATATAACAGCGATTTTTTGGTTCGACTTTGCCGTCAATTGTTTAGGCATGAGTTTTGGATCTCTGTTGATTGTCTGCAGTGTTGGGCTCGTCGTGTTTTTAGTCAATTTCTAAAAATAGCACCTGAAACTCGAGTGTTAGTTTTCCCCTTTGCTAGTTTTTGTTTTATGGATATGGGGGTAATTGGGTTCAAGTATTTATATTCACTTTACAGTTTAATATGGGTGCCCTGTTATTTTGTTTTATTCGGTTGGCATCCGGGTTTTGATGTAATTGGTTGCAAGAGTAGTTTTCGGGTAGCTGAAGGTGCGAACGATTCGGAAAAATGAATCACCTGTGAGTGTTGTTGATTTAACTGTTAATTGAGTTTAGTTGTTGATGGGCTTACTTTCATTTCATTGATGTTGGTTACTGTTGGAATAAGTTTGTTGTGGGAATATATTTGTTCGTGATTAAACTAGTTTTGCTCGCGGGAGGTATATCTTAACCGTTTTAAAGTTTTGCTTGCCATGATGTGCAATGCTTGCAATGTTGAAAACGGTTAATAGTGCTTGTTTGATAGATCTAATTAAGATTGTGGTTCACATAAATGATGAATATTTATTGACCTGAATGTGTTGAGGCTCTTAGTGTTAAAAAGTTTAGATTCCCAAGTCCTAGCATGTAGGTAATATTTTTTGTTTGAGAAGGTTAAGATGTGTTGTATAGATGAAAAAGTGCCATTATTTTGAAGTTTCAATTTTTCGGTTGATGACTTTGTTTCTTTACGACTGCAGGTATCTTATGTGCTATTACTCTCCATCACATTTGTTTCGACATTTGTTGATGTAAGCTACAATTAGTAGCAGTTTTTTTTCACTTCTTTTTGCTGAGCGCAAGAAAGAATGGGTGCTGCCTGTTGCGTTGCTGCAAAGGGTAGAACTGTCACAAATGGGTCACCCGGTGATAATTTGCAGAGGCACACACACTATTCACCTAGTTGGAGCTTCAGATGGGATAACCGTGGACGAGTAGCAGGTGAAGAGACCCATTCTAACTGGGCGAATGATGAAGTGTGTGGGGAAAATAGGATGGGAGTAAAATTTGGAGCAACTGTTGCAGCTGCCTTTGCTTCTGAGGAGAATAGTCCGTTTGATGGGTTTAGGTCATCAAATACTTGGCGAAAGTCCCCACATTTTGAAGGAAATAGTGGAACACTAAGGCTTCAATCTTCTGGTAATCACTCTTTGGCTTTTCAATTCTTTTCTTTGCCATTTATTCTGAATGCTCTATGAATGTCAATTATAGTAATCGGGAAAGAAATAGTAGTACAATGATAGTTTTTCATCACAGAAATCCTGTTGTATTCATGATGGTGATGTGATTAGGGAACATATTGCATGTACTTTCTTAGATATTGTTGTGTCTATGTATTAGTTAAATCTCTCTTAAAGGATTATATGTTGAATTATATTTCGGTACTGAAATATATAGTTATATAGCAATACTCACATCGGCCTTCTAGATTCTTTTGTAAACCAAGTTTTCTAATGACCAGAAAATAGATGTGTAGGTGAAAATGAATGAGCATGGCGGAAAAAAGAAGATATATATTGTGTACTATTTTTATAGCCGACACATTTACCCTTCATAAAGCAGGATGATGTATCTCATTGCCAAATTGATCTGTTTTCTAGCATTCTGAACTTTTTAAGATGCATTAATCATAAAACTATGTTGAGCCTTTAATTTCACAAAAGCAGCAGCTACACTTGCGAAGACCATTCTCTATAAGAGAATAGTTTATTTGTTTGCGGAAAATGCTGGTTCAAGACATTCTCCTTTATTTATCAGTTACAGTATAGTCTTTGCTTCAACATATTAGTTAGAAATGTTGGTTTTCCACCGATCAAGTTCCATATCTGATGTATTGCATTCGACATTATCAGACTTGGTTCACTTTCGACACGTAAAAATAGAATAAATTTGTATTTTCCCTTTTGTTTTGTATTCATTACTTATCCATTCACTCATTTCTTAATGCAGATCAAGCTGTACCACAGAATATTCCAGAGGTACGTGAACACATAGATAAATCATTTTTCATACCATTAAAAAAAATAAAAATGAAAAAAATGAAAATTGCCTATTCAATCTCTAACAACTGTTTCTCTTCTGCACAACTGTTTTAGATAAACGAGTCCACAGATTCCCCATCTGTCTCATATTCGCCCCCTCTGAAACTCTCCCCCTCGATCCCTTCCCTCTCGTCCAAGTCAGCATCCCCTCTATCCTCTCGGAACCACAATCTCCTTTTCCCGCCAAACTCCTCAACCCCTTCGAGATGGCACTACCACCGTTCTTCCCCGAGACACCCGCTCTTCCGCCAGGTGTCGGAAAGCAGAATTAACAAATCACCCTCCTTCTCGATATCCGAGGAGCCAGCTCCTTCCTGGGCTAACGACTCGACCCGGGTCTCCTCTCAAGGCGGGTCATCCGACAGCTGGTCGATCCCTACTCGTCGCGAAAGGTGGTCTTTTGACAGCGAGGCATCGGGCTTTAGCCGAGACAGATTCACAGCAAGGTTCAGTGGGCCCCACTCAGGCCCGACCTCTTTAGACCTTCAGACGTGCGGTATTTGTACTCAGCTTTTGACCGAGAGGTCTTCTCACAAGCTGATGTTCTCGAACGAGCTTGCTGTGGTCTCTGTTCTGACCTGCGGTCACGTTTACCACTCAGATTGCCTCGAGTACATGACTCCCGAGGTAGAAAAGTACGACCCAGCTTGCCCGGTTTGTACCTTTGGGGAGAAACGAGCCTTGAAGATGATGTCTGAGAAGGATTCGAAGACTCGGAAAAAGTCGAGGAAAGTACGTGTGGTTGATAGTGATCTCAGTGGAGAGATTGTGTTTGATCGTTCAAGAAGTGGTGTGTCGGGCAGCTCGACAAGAAAGCCGTTCTTGAGACGGCACTTCTCGTTTGGCACGAAAACGAACAGGCAGTTGACTGACCGTCAGTCGAATCCGAGGAGGGGGTTTTTCTGGGCGAAGTCGAGCAGGGAGTGAGGTTCTGTTACTAAATTTTTGTTCCTATTAAAGACCTGAAAAGGGTATCAGTTTATGAATTGTGCTCTAAAATACCCTTTTTTTTTGTGTGTGTAGATAGTGAGAAAAATGGTGTGGAAAGTGAACAGATTCACAGAGATGGTAATCAGTTCAGAATCTTCACCAAGAAAATCGAGATACATAGGAATTAGCTACCTCTGCAGAAGACACAAAAAACACTGTAAAGAAAGGGATAATACTATAATGTTTTAATTTAATTATTATTCGAGAAGGAAAAACTGAACATGGTAGGATTTTAAAAGATTGTCTTTGTTTCTGTAATGGCGATTTGATGCATTTGTTTGAATGTGTGCATGTTCTTTTATTGATGCTTATGATCCATTTTTTAGCTGTTCTGTTTGAAGTAGTTTGTGGAAACTTACATCTTTAACTAGTTTCATGTGAAATTTGAAGAAAGGGTACAGTGCTCCAAAAATTCTGGCTAATATCATAACAAACTGAAATGAGGGTTCTTATTAGTGTAGATCAAGCTAGCTACTGTATTCATGTTTATGTAATTCTAATTTTATTTCAGCATATGACTATAAATCCATAATTAATTAAATTTCACTTTTTTTGTTTGACATTAATTATGATTATAGATTGAAAATGAACTATTTTTTTTTTCTTTATTTAAAGGCTCTCGTTGTGTTTCGGATTGTGTTGTATGTTCTAGTGAGGTTTAGTGGTAAAAGTGTGAATCGCTATATTAAGTAAAGATCTTCTTATTCATATTTAGATTCTCCATGTTTTTAAATATTTCTTTACCGAAGGATATAACTTAAAAAGAAAAAAAA